TGGGACGGGAAGGGGCGGGGCAGACCGGCGAGAGGGCGCGACGTACGGGGGCCGCGGAGGGACAAACCGCCCCCGTCCCGCGATAGTCGGTGTACCCGACGGTTACCGGTTATAACGGCACTGAAGCAAGGCGCTGACATCGTCTTCAACGCGCTCCAGCAAACGAGAGGCGGTCCCGCACAGCTCCGGCACTCAGCACCGCCTGGCCCTTTCCCACGGGCAGTTTCCAGCCACTCTCGCCCGAGCCCGGAGCGTTCCATGGGGTTGTCGTGGTCCCAGCGCAGGACCGGGCCCTTTTCCCTGTGGAGCCTCAGCATCCCTCCAAAGAGAGCCCCTGCGGTCCCAGAGCAGCCCATGACCCCCCAAAGGGTGGATAAGGGGCCGCCCCCTCCCTGCACGCCCGAGGGTGACCCCCTTCCTGCCCCGCGGGCAGACATCGGCTCCCTCCGCAGCGCCGGCTCCTTGCGGAGGCAGGGAAAGGTCTGGGGTCCGGGCAGGGCTCACGGGCAGCGGCACCCGAAGCACCCGAAGGTTTACGTGCATAAACCAGCCCACACCGGCAGCAGTTCCTCGGCTGAGCTGCCCTGAAGGCCACATTGGATGGGGCTTGGAGCAACCCGGTCCCTTCCTGTGCTGGGTGGTTGGAACTGGATGAGCTTCGAGCTCCCTTCAACCCAGCCCAGTCTGGGGTTCTATGATTCTATGAGCACCATCACTTCCCACATGAGGATGTTGATTCCGTTTGGCAAATATGGCAACTAGTGATTCCTCAGTGCCCAGGTTTGCTTTGAGAGTCCCCAGTGCACCAGCATCTCAGCCTGGCCCTTCAGCTTGAGCAAGACAAACACTGCACTGAGAGTGCGAACTCCAAGAGCTCCCATCTCAAAGAGGTGCCACAGGGACATCCTGGAGCTGGTCAGGAAATGGGGACCAGTTTGGGGTTGTTTCTCTGTTTGATTGAAAATGAGCCGATGGAAGGACAAACCGTGGTGCTTGGATCCGTTTGAGCTGTTCTCTCGTGCAGGTCCTCATGCTCGAGCTCTCGGTGTTTCATTTGCTCCTCTTTGATGAGGCAGTAGCAGGCAGAGCGCTTGTTCCATCTGGTGGGGCTTGGCTGTGGGTGGTGAGCTCAGCTGCAGCAAACAGCCTGCTCCCCTCTGCACGGCCTGGGGAGAGCCATGACCCAGACAAACCCAGCCCTCAGGGAGGTGAGGATGGAAGGAAACAGAGCAACAAACCCCAAACTTCCTGAGCCCGCGCAGGCTTCACCCGGAGCCCGCCGTGGCCGCGGTGCCGTGTCCATGCTAGCAGGTTCCTGCTGTCACACAGTGCCTTCTGTCCCTGGACAGGCTGCTTCATCCAAACTATCACACAGTACAAGTGGCCAGCACAGGGAAACAAGCTCTGAGCTGGGACAGCACCAAAACCAAATCGATTGCTTCAGAACCTCAGGTGCATGCGATGGGAAGTCAAAACCCAAAGGATGCGACCCTGCCGTGGAGCATGGGGACGTGGCTCCCACCTCTTGCCCACACACTCCTGTCTTGCCTATGCTATGAGGAAGACATTCTTTACAATGAGGGTGCTGAGGCGCTGGCACAGGGTGCCCAGAGAAGCTGTGGCTGCCCCATCCCTGGCAGTGCTCAAGGCCAGGTTGGACACAGGGGCTTGGAGCAAGCTGCTCCAGTGGAAGGGGTCCCTGCCCATGGCAGGGGTTGGGAATGGAGGAGCTTTAAGGTCCCTTCAGCCTAAACCACTGTGATTCCATGATAACCTGGAAAGGGAGATGGAGCCATTCCTCAAGCTGCTCCTCCCTTCCACCTGTATGCTCTTCAGCTTGGGGGGACAGCAGTCCCCTTTGTGTCCCTTCACACCACTTCCCACCTCCTCCTCATGCCTTCGTGCCTGCTGGCTGTCAGCACTGGGTGGAAGCCTGGCATCGCTGTCTGCCTCCTCACACTGCTCTGCAGCAGCGCTGGGATCTTAGCAGTGCCACAGCCCTGATGCCCCAGCGCCACACCTTGAGAGGACACAGGGCTGCGCCTGCATCATGGCTCATCCACGGGTGCGTGGGGAGCCCAGTACGAAACCGCATCCAAGAGAGGCTTGGTGCTGAGAGAATCATCTCTTGGCTGCAGAAGGAAGCGGGAAGAACGGTCTGCGGGGGGCATTGGCTCCGGGGGGGATGATGGGGACTCCTGCAGCGGATGCTGCACCCCACGCCGGGCTGCCCGGGGCGGAGCTGAACCTGCTGCAGGGGGAGCGGAGCGGAGCGTGCCCGTCCCTCCCGCGTCCCTCTCTGCCGAGCAGGAAATGCCGGGCACCGGGCGCGCCGGAGTCCCGGTAGGACCGTGCCTGCTCAGAGCCGCCGGGTGCAGGAGCCTCCGATCCCATTGCAGGGACCCGCGGGGCGCAGGAGCCTCCGATCCCATTGCAGGGACCCGCGGGTGGGAGAAACTGAGTCACAGGAGCGCTGGGCTTGCTGGGGACAGGGCTGGGATGAGAACCCCACGCTGCCGAGGCCCCGTTCTCCATCCCCTGCGGGCTGAGGGCTCAGCTGGGCTGCGAGCTGTTTGATCGGCTGCGGCACTGGTACAGACGCTCTGGGGGGCAGGACCAGTGCCCAAGGAGCTGTTTCTGGTGGAAGGGATGGGAGCCCCAAGCCTGGTGTGGGCTCAGTGTGCAGCTCCCTGTGCAGCCCTGGGAGCAGGGCAGCTGTGCTGCAGCCCCAGCCTGCGACACGGTAACAACTGAGGCACGAATGTCCCCTTCCCTCTACCCAACGTGCTCATCCCCCCTTCAGCAGAGGTGTCCCCGGGCCGGGGTGCAGGTCTGAGGCGCTGGCACAGGGTGCCCAGAGGAGCTGTGGCTGCCCCATCCCTGGCAGTGCTCAAGGCCAGGTTGGACACAGGGGCTTGGAGCAAGCTGCTCCAGTGGAAGGGGTCCCTGCCTGTGGCAGGGGTTGGGGCTGGATGGGCTCTAAGCTCCCTTCACCCCCATCTATTCCGTGACTCTTATGTGCGGGTGATTTATGACCAACCCAAGCAGCACGGGGTCAGTTTCGGTGCTGAGGAGCTGGATGTGATTCAGACCCCATGAAGAGGACGGCACCAGCCTGTGGCTGCTGGGGGCACAGTCCCCAGGGAGATCCCCCCATGGGCAAGCACCAAACGGAGCCCATGAGGGAAGGGCTGGAAGCAGGAGCAGCGGCAGCCGTGGGCTCGTAAAATAGACTACATGCTTTATTGGATTGAAAAGTTTTATGAAATGACCCCCCAATAAAATAACCTAAACCCATCCTGGGGAGCGGCAGATGCAGCAGCAGTCGCCGTGCGCCGGGCCCCCAACCCCTGCTCCAGGTCTCCGCCACCACCCGCAGCTCCAGCCCGGGGCCCCCCCCTTGCCCCGGGGCACCCCCCTCGGGGCGTCCCTCCCTTCCCGTGCGCGGGAATCAGGCACTTAAGTCATGGAGAGGAATCGTTCACGCCTCAAAGCAACAGTGGGATCGTCACCTTCCAGCTGTGGACACGGACACGCGAGAGCCCCCCCGCGGGACGGACCCGTGTCACTGCGCATCCCGCCCGCATCCTCCTCAGGAAGCAGCGCAGCTCGGGATGTGTGCGATGGTGGTGCCGGGTTGAGGTGCGGGGATAGGAGGCGACAGGGACCCCCGGCCTGGTGCAGAGCTCAGGGGGTCACATCGGTGCCAGGCAGCAACCATGAGGAATGCAGGAGGCTCCGCTGGCAGCCCCGGCACTGGGATCAGCGCTGGGATGGAGCAGGACTCATCCCTGGGGATGGGATCAGCTCTATGGATGGGGAAGCACTCATCCCTGGGGATGGAGCAGGATTCGGCCCCAGTGATGGGATCAGCCCTGGGGATAGGCTCAGCCCTGGGACAGAGCAAGGCTCATCCCTAGGGACAGGCTCACCCCTGCGATGGAGCTGGATCTGGCCACAGTTACTGCCCAGACCTGGGTACTCCCCACAGCATCCAGACCTGCGATGGGGGACGTGCTGAGAGAAGGGCTCAGACCAGCAGGATGTGACCCACAGAGGGAGCACGGGAGCTGCTGAGCCCCGGGGAGCAGCTCGGGATGGACCACACGACCTGCCCCGGGCTGTGCCGGTGCCCAACAGCAGCAGGGCCCCCCCAGGCTGACCCCGGGTCTGGATGGAGCCTGTCTCCAGCCGGAGACCCCCGTTCCCTGTCTCCAGCCCTGCCAAACCGGGACACGGGGACAAGGGAGGCTCCTGCACCCGGGACCCCCCCCATTTGTGTGGCTGCAGTGGCTGGACCCGGCTCTGCACCCGAGGGCAAGCCCTCCCCTTGTGCTCCCCATCCCCAGGGTCCCACCAAGACGTGCGTGGTTCAGAGGAGCTCCTCAGAAGTTCTCCTTGCAAGTGAAGATGGGGCCACGGCTTCCCCCCCAGCATCCCCCCCCCCCCGCACACAGACCCTGCGGTGCCGCGACCGCCCCGAGATGCGGGATGCAGGATGCGGGATGCAGGATGCGGGTCAGGGCCGCGCTGCAGGCCGAGCTCCCGGGTGCACAAGTACCAGCGAGGGCAGAGCCCCCCTCGGAGGGCGTTGGACTGCTCCTGCTTCCCGAGAGCGCAGCCCCGCGGACCCCCCCCCCGGCCAGGCCGCAGCGGGGAAGGCCCCGGGACACGAGAACCGTTGCGATGCCCACAGGCAGGTCCCGAGCGGGGAGTGGGGCCGCTCCCCCCGACCCCCCCCCCGGTCCGGGCAGGGATGGGAGCGGCGGAAGGAACCCAATGATGGAAGGGAGGGATGCGGAGCCGGGCCGCGGGGGTAAAGCCATGCACAGCAAAGCCAAGGGGCGCAGCGGGGGGGGCTGGGGGGGGGGCGGCTCCGTCCTCGCTTCCTTCTCCAAGGTGAGGAAATAAATAAAGTGCGGCGGCGGCTCCCGCGGTGGGGACGGACCGGGATGGGGGGGACCGGGGGGGACCGGGCCCGCTCCGCCCCAGCGCCGCCGCTGCGCGGGCTCCTCCTGCCCCCTGCCCGCCGCCTACTTCTTGGGCTTCTTGAAGATCTTCAGCGGGAACTTCTTCCTGCTGGCGCCCAGCTCGGCCTCGTCGCCCGTGGCGCTGCTGTCCTCGTCCCCCGCGCTCTTCTTGGCAGCCAGCTGCGGGATGCGGGTGCTCTTGGCGCGGCAGTCAGAGGTGGGGGAGGGCGTGTCGGGCTCGGTGGAGCTGGGGCTGTGCGAGCGGGACCCCTCCGGGTGGCTGAGCCTGGCGGGGCCCGGGTGGCTGCCCTCGGCCGGCTTCTCCAGGCCGTGGTTCGCCAGCAGCATCTTCCTCAGCACCAGCGGGCTCTCGGGCAGGCGCTCCGGGCCGCACGCATCCCCCGGCCGGCTGCCGCCGTTGGGGGTGGGCGCGGCGCTGGCCGGGTGGCCGGGGGCAGCCTCCTCGATGGAGCGGGTCAGCAGGTTGGGCCGGGCAGCCAGCAGCTTGGGCGCCGAGCTGGGCATGCGCTGGTGCTCGCTCAGGTGCGGGATGGAGGACTCGGAGTCGCAGCGAGTCAAGTCTCTGCGGCACAAGAAGGTGAAGGCAAAGCGCGTCAGAGCCACGGAGCCGGGGACACGGACCCGACCCCTGCACACGCGGATGCAGCAGCCATGGGCAGGGCAGGGACAGCCTTTGGAGCGGCCCCATCCCATGGGCAGGGCAGGGACCCCCTCAGCCCCATCCCATGGGCAGTGCAGGGACAGCCTTTGGGGCAGCCCCATCCCATGGGCAGTGCAGGGACAGCCTTTGGGGCAGCCCCATCCCATGGGCAGGGCAGGGACAGCCTTTGGGGCAGCCCCATCCCATGGGCAGGGCAGGGACAGCCTTTGGGGCAGCCCCATCCCATGGGCAGGGCAGGGACCCCCTCAGCCCCATCCCATGGGCAGTGCAGGGACAGCCCCATCCCATGGGCAGTGCAGGGACAGCCCCATCCCATGGGCAGTGCAGGGACAGCCCCATCCCATGGGCAGTGCAGGGACACCCTTTGGGGCAGCCCCATCCCATGGGCAGTGCAGGGACACCCCTCGGGGTAGCCCCATCCCATGGGCAGGGCAGGGACACCCCTCAGGGCAGCCCCATCCCATGGGCAGTGCAGGGACAGCCTTTGGGGTAGCCCCATCCCATGGGCAATGCAGGGACACCCCTCAGGGCAGCCCCATCCCATGGGCAGTGCAGGGACACCCTTTGGGGCAGCTCCATCCCATGGGCAGTGCAGGGACACCCCTCGGGGCAGCCCCATCCCAGGGGCAGGGCAGGGACAGCCCCATCCCATGGGCAGTGCAGGGACACCCCTCGGGGCAGCCCCATCCCATGGGCAGTGCAGGGACACCCCTCGGGGCAGCCCCATGCCATGGGCAGTGCAGGGAACCCTCCTGAAGGCAGCCCCATCCTGTGCTGGTGGCTTGCAGTGAGCCATGGGAGCAGGATCAGGGCAGCCCATTGCTCCCACTGCCTCATCCATGGTTCTGCTGTTGTCCCAGTGCCAGGAGACTGTGTTGGCACCCCTGGGGATGGGGGCACTCATCCAGCACAGCACAGGGGGCTGATCGCTGCCTGCACCGACCTGCGCTCATCCCATGGGGAAGCTGGAAGGAAGCACTGGACAGGGAAGCAGAACCAGAGGGATGGAGCCCGATCCATGAGGCAGCAGCAAGCGCCCAGCCCTGAGCTCATGGGTCCAAAGTGAGCGGCTGTGGCTGCAGCCATTGGGAACCCCACCCAGGGTGGTTGGGTGCTGCTGGGCTGTGCTGAGCCAGCAGCTCCCTCCCATTCCCTGCAAGCACTCTGGATCCCGGTGGAGCCGGGCCCTGCAGCACCAAGCACTGCAGAGCCCTGACCCCGATGCTCTGCCCGCTGCAGGATGGGGGCACCTTCCTCAGGGGGTTCCTCTGCACTGCTCAGCTCACCCCATGTGGGTGCTGCTGCTCTGCCCCCGTTACCCCTGGGCGAGCCAGGCACAGACCTCTAATCCCGGCGGCAGGAATTAGAGGTCCGTTGCTCCCCATTGCCATGCCTGAGCCGCTGCCTGCAGACCCGCTGCTGCACAGTGGTTTGTGCCCCCCAGCCTGGTGCCACTTGGGGTCGCAAACGGTGCTTAAGGGCATTGCCCGGCCTGAGGAGCTCCCAGGCCCTTTGGGAAGCGGAGAGTGGGAGGTAGGAGAAGGGAGGAATGGGGATCCCCACATTGCTGCTGGACCTGACACCCCCATGGTCCCTGCTGAACGTGGAGCTGGACCAAGAGCTCTGGCTGCCACCTACCCTAACGCTGGCCTCAAGGCTGGGCTGCCACAGGGCCACCAGCCCTGGCACTGAGGGGCAACGGGGGACCTGTCCTGTGCTTCACCCAGAGCCTGCGCTGGCCAAAGGCAAGGAGCATGGAATGGGAAAGGGGAATGGAGAGAAACGAGAGAAGCAGAAGGGGGGGAGAACGGAAGGGAGGTGCTCACCGGCTCCTCGGCCCCGGCTGTTCCCAGCACAGAGCCCCCATGCGGCCAAGCCCTGGGATGTTTCACTGTGCCCTGCCTCAGCACCAAGCCCACCCAGCACAGTGAGGAGCCCCTGGATCCTCTTCTACCGCATCACCACCACCAGTAGCATCAGGGCTCGGAGGCAGCAAAGGAGGCAGGATGAGAGAAGCTCTCTCAGTGCATTGGAGGCTCCCAGGCAGGGCAGGGAGGATGCTCAGGAGGTGACAGCAGCAGCACAGCATCACCCAATGCAAGTGCACAGCACAAGGTGTGGTGAGGGGCAGGAAAGACCCTCCTCAGATCATCACCCCCGGGATGGGAACAAGGGTGGGTTTTAACTGAACCACCCCAATAAACCCGGGTCCCTGCTGAGCTGCTCCATGGGGACACGTGGAGAAAAGGGGCACTGAAAACCCTTGGGGTGGACAGGATCCAGCGCAGGATCCACTGAGAGCCCAGGGGTGGAGATGGGCTTGGAGCAAGCTGCTCTAGTGCAAGGTGCCCCTTGGAACACTCCAGGAACAGGAGGGGCTTTAAGGTCCCTTCATCCCAAAGCTGGCTGGGATTCTGTGCCAGGGGAGGTGGGAATGCATGGGGACACGACCCCCTGGTGCACACTGGCTTTGCTGGAGAGCAAGGGGAAGGGGATATTCCTGAGCCCAGCGCTGGGACAAGAGGGGAGAAAAGAGCATCACCAGGATGATGCCAGGCACTCTGGGAGGGGCTCAGCCAAAAAGGGCTGGGTTTGTGTCGGACCGGATGACCTTTGTTTGAAGGTCTCCTCCAACCCAAACTGCTCCAGGATTCCACCCCGCTGAGTTTCGCAAGGCCGATGCTCCTGGATCGTGTGCCACATGCTCAGGAGGAAACGGTGGCCCAGGACAGGGGAGACCTTCTTAGTGCATATAAATATATAACGGGGGAGTGTCCCGAGGATGGAGCCAGGCTCTTCTCAGTGGCAAACAATGATAGGACAAGGGGCAATGGGTACAAACTGGAACACAAGAGGTGCCACTTAAACTCCTTCTCAGTGAGGTGACAGAACACTGGACCAGGCTGCCCAGGGAGGTTGTGGAGTCTCCTTCTCTGGAGCCATTCAAAACCCGTTCCTGTGTAACCTTATCTGGGTGTTCCTGCTCTGCAGGGGGATTGGACTGGATGAGCTTTTGAGGACCCTTCCCATCTCTAGCATGCTGTGATGCTGTGATGCTGTGATGCTGTGATGCTGTGACAGAGCCAGCCTCAATGGGGCACGGGAAGGCCCCTTCAGAGGAAGCACCTGTGTGGTGCAGCAGGAGCTACCGAACTCCCATCCCTCTGGAAGGCTCAGGCCAACTGAGCAGGGAGCACCCAGGAGCCTCACATCAGCACGTTCCCAGTGCCAGGCACACTGCTGCAGTGCTCACAGCCGGGGACCCTGCAGTCTGAGAGCAAAGCCAACGCGTTCACCTGCATGAAGGCAGGATGCTCGTGCTGCTGCTCTACCCGCTTCCACCTGCGCCTCCTGGACCCACCGTGGCGAGAGGGTGAGCAAATGGGAACGGGCTCACTTGGCAAAGGGAAGGAGCAGAGAGCAAAGCATGGGGTAAGGGAAGAGCGGCAGTGGTGGAGGGAGAGAGGGCAGGGCAGGAGGATGAGGGGGTGACAGCATCAATACACATCCTGCCTCAGGTCTGCAGCCCAGGGAGCGGCTTCCCCTGGTGGCTCCCCTCTACACCCCAGCAGCGGGCTGCAGGGAAGCCCAGGGTGACTGACACGAAAGCTGGCCTTGGTCCACCAGCCTCACACAGCCCTTGCTGCACGTACCATCGCCTGCCCTCACCAGCAACACCCACAGCTGCACAGCTATACCCCATCTGTATATATATATATATAAATACATATATAGGCACTAGGACAGCAAAGGCTTCCCCTATGGCAGAATCAGATTTGCCATGTGGCTGTTATTCCACTGTGCTCACCCTGCCACAGTCTGAGGCTTTAGAAAGGGCTTTGACATTGCAAATCCAAGATTCCGCTCTGTACAGCTGGGAAGGATGCTTTCTGCTGGAGTCACTGCTAAAGGGGCTGCAGGGAACCTGGAGAGGGGCTTGGGACAAGGGCCTGTAGGGCCAGGCCAAGGGGAATGGCTTGAACCTGCCCGAGGGGAGACTGAGCTGAGCTCTTAGGCAGAAGCTCTTCCCTGTGAGGGTGCTGAGGCGCTGGCACAGGGTGCCCAGAGAAGCTGTGGCTGCCCCATCCCTGGCAGTGCTCAAGGCCAGGTTGGACACAGGGGCTTGGAGCAAGCTGCTCCAGTGGAAGGGGTCCCTGGCAGGGGTTGGAGATGGATGGGCTTTAAGGTCTCTCCCATTCCATGATTCTATGCTTACTGACACTCTCCTTCTGCTCTGGCTGCCAGCTCCCATCCCTGCTGGAAAAGGGCCACCGGCATGGGGATTTGGTCCTGCGCTCCCATCTCCATCAGCTTTATCCCCATGAAGCAGGCTCTGGCAGCAGAAACCTCTGTGCACGCAGCAGCCTCCAACCCCTCTCCCCCTCCCAGGGACACCCACGAACGTCAACAGCCACACAGCAGCCCTGGAAACGGGAACAGCTCTGACCTTATTTGCACCGGATCCTCTGAAGCCAATTGCAAAAGAGAAGCAAAGAGTGAGGAGTTCAGGAAACAACTCATGGCCACGGCCTGGCCTGGAGAGCAGCTCCCTGCCAGCAGAGCCCCACACGGCTCGCACAGGCAGGAGTGACCCCGAGCTCGGCTGAGGTGGTTTCTGTCGTGGGGTCCCACCAACACCGGCATCTGCTGGGTACCAGAGGGGCTAAAGCGATGCAGGCGCCCAGGGCAGCGCTCCCCTCCTATCGGGAGCCAGGGATGGGGGGCTCCGTTCTCATCCTTGCCAATGCCTCCCTGGGAGCCTCTCTCAGCCTCAGCTTCCCCATGTGTTCTGCTGGCCTCTTTGGGAGGCCCTGGAGCTCGAGGGATGCATGGAAGGGCCTCCAGGACCGGTTATAGGAAAGAGAGGGAGCGAGCCATGGGCTCGTGCCTCCGCGGCGCTGCCTCTGAGGAAGCATCTGAGCGGGATCTGCTGCTGATGCAGTGGGACAAAAAACCAAAAGCAACAAAGTAAGAAGACATCTGGGCAGCCAGTTCTTCATTCCTGCTCCCTGAAATGAACGGGGAATGGATGAGGATGGATTTGGAGCCGTCTGTTATTGTGGAGCTGAAGCACATCACACCTACAGGGAAAGATCTCACTCTGCAAAACTCCGCTGCTAAAGCAACAATCAGCATCATAGGATAGTTAGGGTTGGAAAGGACCTTAAGATCATCAAGTTCCAACCCCCTGCCATGGGCTGGGACACCTCACACTAAACCATGGCACCCAAGGCTCTGTCCAACCTGGCCTTGAACACTGCCAGGGATGGAGCATTCACAACCTCCCTGGGCACCCATTCCAGTCCCTCAGCACCCTAACAGGAAAGAATTTCCTCCTTATATCCTATCTAAACTTCCCCTGTTTAAGTTTTAACCCATTACCCCTAATGAAGTCCCTAATGAAGAGTCCCTCCCCAGCATCCCTATAGGCCCCCTTCAGATACTGGAAGCTGCTCTGAGGTCTCCATGCAGCTTCTCTTCTCCAGGCTCAACAGCCCCAATGTTCTCAGCCTGGCTCCATACAGGAGCTGCTCCAGCCCCTGAGCATCCTCGTGGCCTCCTCTGGACTTGTTCCAACAGCTCCATGTCCTTCTGATGTTGAGGACCCCAGAACTGCACACAGTGCTGCAGGTGAGGTCTCACGAGAGCAGAGCAGAGGGGCAGGATCACCTCCTTCGCCCTGCTGGTCACGCTCCTTCTGATGCAGCCCAGGATACGGTTGCTTTCTGGGCTCAAGCGCACACTGAAGCCGGCTCATGTTCATTTTCTCATGGACCAGCACCCCCAAGTCCTTCTCCTTGGGCTGCTCTGAATCTCTTCTCTGCCCAGCCTGTAGCTGTGCCTGGGATTGCTCCGACCCAGGTGTAGGACCTTGCACTTGGCATGGTTGAACTCCATGAGGTTGGCATCAGCCCACCTCACAATCCTGCACCACCAGATGTCCTTGCTATGTGAAGAGAGAGAAACCAGTCCTACCTTCCACTGAGGCTACTGAGTGCCCGTGGGGAGCAAGGGGATGAGCTGTTCATTGTCTCCTGATGACCTCCCAGCACCATTTGCCTTGTCAAAGGGGATCCCAAAGTCATCCCACACTTCCCTGTGCCACTCTCAGGGGACTGAGCCTTTACCCTGGTCAGCAGTTGTGTCACAGCCTCAGCTGCAAAGAGGAACGATGCTCATCCAGCTCTTCCTGAAGCAGTTCCCAGCCCTCAGGCTGCCGGGGGAGCCTCCTCCCCAGCGGGCAGGAAGGTCGATGACAAACAGGGAATGTGTGATGCTACCAGAAGCATTCCCGGCTTTATCGGTCAAACTGGGGCAGCTGCGCTCGAGCAGGCAGCGATTCTCTTCAGTTCTAACTGCACTCCTCCTCTTGATCCCAACCCAAAGATCACTGAATTAACCCAGCCCTTGCTCTATAACTGCTCACTGTGGGCAAGGGCAGGAATTCCCCTGTCTCAGTATGCCAGAATCCCAATGCCCGGGGCTGGGGGATGCTCCGGTCCAAAGAGCAGCTCAGCAAATTACCAAGGGGTGAGACATGCACAGCAGAGACACCAGGAGACACCTGCACCCACAGGCAGAGGCCCCTGTGGATGGAAGGAATAATGGTACAGCGTGCTGGCATGAATGAAGTGGTGATGGGGAATGCTGTCCTGCCTGGATAAATGAACACGAAGGACGTTGCCCCTCTCAGCCTCCTCCCTGAGGGACTTCCAGCCCTTTCCCAGAGCCTGTTCCCTAACTGAGGACAAGGAGAGCACTGGGATTTTCACCATAGAGAAAGCACAGACCAGAGATGGAACAACTGAGCCACGGTCACAGGCAGCTCCCGGGAGGATGGTGCTGGGGCACTGGCACAGGGTGCCCAGAGAAGCTGTGGCTGCCCCATCCCTGGCAGTGCTCAAGGCCAGGTTGGACACAGGGGCTTGGAGCAAGCTGCTCCAGTGGAAGGGGTCCCTGCCCGTGGTTTTAGGTGAGCTTTAAGGTCCCTTCATCCCAACCCATTCCATGATTCTATGATCCCTGAAGGCCCATCACAGCCCTTCCACCGTCTGCTTCAGCACTGACACCACCCTGAACCCTGTGCTCTCCAACCACACAAACCGCACACCCAAGGGTTCAAGTGATGCTCCTGCCTCCACTCAGGCTCACACAGCGCCCTGGAGCTGGATGCATCCATGCCCCACGGGGGGGAGCACCTCCAACACTGCTGCCTGTGGACCTCATTCAGAGGAAAGCCCTCAGAGCTGCCCAGGGAAGGGGATCCTCTCCTTGGGGTGCAGAACACCTGAGCCTGGGATGGCTGCTGGAGGCCACCTCACTGCACCCCAGTTAGACCAGACAGGAGACCCCCATCCACGGCCCACCCAATCATTCACCTCTCCAGTGCCAGCAGGTGAATGAGGAGAGATCAGGGATTTAGGGATGTGACCGGTTCCTACTGTACACAGCTCTCCAATCGCTTGGCTGTTACTGGAAAGGACCAAGTTAAACCAGTGATCCAGCAATACGAGGCTCAGCTCCCTCCTCATTAGCTCCTCAGCCCAAACACAACCATGGCTCATCCCCTACCAACAGCCACACAAAACTGGCTGTTTTCTGCCACCTCCTGAGCACAGCACAAACTTCAGCCCCTCCTTGGCCCCACCTCCTATCTCCTGGGAGCCACCCACCCATCGTGTTCCCTTTGCAATTCGCTTGTGAAGACCCCAAGGGAGTCAAGGCATCAAATAAGGTCAGCGTTTGCTTGGTTAGTTGTTACCTTTGTTCTCACAGGAGCATCCATCCCCCAAGGGAAAGACCGACTGATTGAGTGGTACCAAGTGCCCAGGAGCTCCCTTTGCCTTAGCTACAGTTAAACAGGCACTCCTCATGGGCTGTGCACCCACTGAGCTCCCAGCTACGAGGGGATGGACCATGGAGCACCCCTTAGAGGGTCCACTGGCACGGGAGAAACAAACGGGGGTAAATCATGAAATGAAGGCCCAAAAGGAAGGGCCAGAAGGAACGTGGGGGAGAGAGCACCCGAGCAAGCAGCAGCTCTGGGACCCAGCAGGCAAGAGGGAGCTAGAAAAGAAAGAGCAGTATACCCAGAGCTCTCAGTGCGACAGCGAACTCCAGAGGTGACATCAGGAGGGGGCAGGTCAGGGATGGAGTCCGTCTGGAGGAAGTAAGAGGAGGTGGTGTGATGGTAATAGAGAGGGTGGACATGGCAAGCAGGAGCAGATGCAGTGGAGGTGGATGAGGAGGAGCAAGAGGTGGAGGTGGTGGCGGCGGCAGGTGATGGGCTGGAGCCGGGCAGCTCGGAGCTCAAGGACTGTCCAGAGGAGAGGCTGTGCACTCGGCGGAGGGAGACTCTGCCCGCCCGGTACTGGGCCGGCTGCCCCGGCTCATTCTGGCCTTGCACGTAACTCTCTACCAACCTCTGCGATCCATGGGCGTGCTGGGGGTCCACCAGGCGCTGGCGAACTGTGCTGGGCAAGGCAGGAGCTGCGGGAGACAAAGGGGACAAGGCTGAAGGAGCTGCAAAGAGACCGTGCATCGCATGAGCGGGCACCCGCGCCACGGCCGCCACCCCACCCTGAGCCCCAAGTTACAGTGCTTTGATGCAGAAGCATGATTAAGGTGGTGCTACCGCTTCACATGCTGGATTAATGCCCAGCGCATGGAAAACTCTGACGTTGCTGCTGTAGGTGCTTGCTGAACACCTTATCTGATCAGCTGGCTCCAAGCAGAAAGTGCCTGCATGACTCATCCTGCCCCAGTTGACATCAGAGCTACCACCCAGGCTCCCTTCGGAGCACGGGGAGTGGGTACTTTCAGGGCATGATTCATTCCACCCAAGCACAGGCACTGAAACCCTTTGGATGCTTCATGCCTTGGGAGTGCCCAGAGGAGCTGGGGCTGCCCCATCCCTGGCAGTGCTCAAGGGCAGGTTGGACACAGGGGCTTGGAGCAAGCTGCTCCAGTGGAAGGGGTCCCTGCCCCATGCAGGGGTTGGAACTGGAGGAGCTTTAAGGTCCCTTCATCCCAAAACCTTCTGTGATGCTCTGACCACAGTGACCTTTCAGGCCACCCAGCCCTACCTGCCCAGTAACACAGGTCAGGGACCTGAGCCTATTCCCTACCCCACCTCTGCACAGCACCTACACACCAAGCTGGGGCCAGGGTCTGCCTGCAGGGAGGCAGAGGGAGGCTCCTTCCCTGCATGGCCATTTCTGCTACTCATCTCCATCAGCAGATGGAAAACCAAGGATCCGAGGGGCTGCATCTCCACCCTGCACACAACCAGGGGGGTCGGATTTAACCCATTAGCTGTGATTTCCACACAAGACATTCCTTCCTTGGCAGGAGATAAGGTGTTCAGGTTGGTTCAGGATTTCTTACATACGTAACAAATGGATGTACAAACGGGTTAAAAAGGTGAAGAGAGGAAAGCTGAGAATGGAGTGGAAAGAGAGCTCCTTTGGGAATCAAAGAACCAGCAAATCACTGCTATAAACCCGAGAGCTGGAACACATCTCCTGCAGCTCAGCTCACTCCAGCAGTCACACTGAGGGATCCCACCTGGGCTCTGTTTCAAGTGGAAGAAGGGATGAGCAGCGTTGCTGCTGGCACATCCCTGGGGGGAATCACAGTTCCCCTCGCAGGGTCCCACCGCCCACGTTTGCTGCTTCACTTGACTGCAGTGTCCATGGGGAAGCTTTCCCTGGAGCTCCTGACAGCATCCACGTTACAGCTCAAGAGGGTTTTTCCTCTTAAGGGCTGCAGGGCTGAGTTAAGGAAAATCAAGGTACACGGGGCCAAGGTGGGAACAAACCCCCTGCTCTGGTGGGGCTGCAGGAACCTGCTCCTGTGGATGGGCAGGGACCTGGGGCTGGGAGTGAGCATGGAGGAGGGCATGGAGCTGCTGCGAGGGCTGGAGCAGCTCTGCCATGGAGCCAGGCTGAGAGAGCTGGGCTGGGGCAGCCTGGAGAAGAGAAGGCTCCTGAAGGGGAGACCTGAGAGCAGCTCCAGTGCCTAAAGGGGCTGCAGGGAACTGGGAGAGGGGCCTGGGACAAGGGCCTGTAGGGCCAGGCCAAGGGGAATGGCTTGAACCTGCCCGAGGGGAGACTGAGCTGAGCTCTTAGGCAGAAGCTCTTCCCTGTGAGGGTGCTGAGGCGCTGGCACAGGGTGCCCAGAGAAGCTGTGGCTGCCCCATCCCTGGCAGTGCTCAAGGCCAGGTTGGACACAGGGGCTTGGAGCAAGCTGCTCCAGTGGAAGGGGTCCCTGCCCGTGACAGGGGTTGGAGCTGGAGGGGCTTTAAGGTCCCTTCCAACCCATTCTGTGGAAACCAGAGGCTGCTCCAGCCCCTGCTGTGCCTGTGCAGCAGCAATGAGCACTGACAGGGATCCAGCTTTGCAGAATAACGGGGGATTTCTGCTCCAGGTTTCTCTTTCCCTTGGGCCAAGCTTTTCCCTGTAGAGGGTTTGGTTTTTCCCTGCTGCTCATTCCTCATCTACCAGCTCAACACCTCACCCCTTGTGCTCTCCTCCTTTGCCACACAGCCTGTGATAAGCTCAGGATCGAAGGCACAGCGGCCCCTCACTTCCCTCAAGCATCACCTCCCTCCAGGCACTGGAGGCTTTATCCCCCTTAGCCAAACACGCTGCTCATCATCGTGAGGAAGAGCATGACCTGCCCTGCTGCTGCATGTGCTCATCCTCCTCCATGCACAGTGGTCAGCATTTGGCATCACTCTATGAAGGGGAGGCTTCCAGCCAAAACCAGGAGGCTCAGAGCTGAGCAGGTCATCCCCATAGCCCAGCATGGGGACCAGGGGGACAAATCAGCACACAGGTGGCATTGCTCAATTAATTTCAGGGTCCCGAGGGAAGAAAGGCACCGTGATGCAGAGCAGCCCCATGGGAGGGACCAGGAGCAGCCTTGGCTGGCAGTGGAGTGGCCGGAGAAGGAGGAGGGATGGGAAAGGGAACAGTACCACCTCCTCCCAGCCCAGCCTGAATCCTTCATCTCCACCTCAGGACTAAACCAAGGGAGACCAAGGCTCTGGATTTCCTACTGGATTGGTTTTAACAGCAAACCCAAGAGCACGTGAGCGAACTGTGATTCTTCATCCCAGCGGACTCTTCCCCGGGGTTAGTCGAGATGCTGAGGGCTCAGTGAAGAGAGGGACAGCCATTAGTTCAGCCGTGGCAGAAAGGTGGGAAACTGGTGTATGGGTTTTAGTCCAGAGAAAGGGCAGACCCAAACCAAATGAAGATAAAAGTGAAGAGAACCAAACCAGGGTATTTCCAGAGGGACTGTTCCTCCGAGGACAGAGACGAGCGGTCACTGAACCTGCGCCCGAAAAGCCAGGCTGCATCTGGGATGGGCCAGCAGGAGAGAGAACAGGGATTTACCAGGAGAACCAGCACGGGCAGTGGGCAGCACCCTGACAGGGCTGGGCAGGGGAACCCCCCGCTTCGATCCTGAACCACTCTGGGTACAGCAAGAGAGAAGAAGCCTCCAGGGAAAGGCCACAGCTCCCTCGCTTTGGGAATGGGGTGCCCAGCGCTGGCTCCAGTTATTCCTGCAGGGATGTGGATGGGCACTGGGGAGCAAGGCAGGATGCAGGCAGCAGCCAGGCTGCCAGCCCTGCAGACAGAGCTGCTGCAAGGCTCTCACTTGAGGTGTCTTGAGCACAGCATGAGGAAGCTGAGGCTTCAACCCCGGGAGGCAGCCTCACACCTCTGCAGCTCCCATCCTCTGTGCTTTGGGTGCTCCTTAGGATGCTCCTCCAGACACCCCTCCCTCATCTGCACCTTGCAAGTGTTTTAGAGAGCTGCCTACCTTGGTTTCTAATGGCAAGTGGCAATCACAGGGACTAACAGGATACAGTTATGTGTTTGAGGCTTTAAACATTCCCTATGCACACCCAACCCCATAAATCCCCAACCCCTCATGTTTGCTGGGCTCTGGATCACACAGATACCCCTGTTCCTGCTGCCTTGACATCCTGCAGACACCCCAGATTCTCAGAGCTCTGCCTTCATCCCCCCATCACCCTGAGCCAACCATGGCATTCACCTCCAGACCTTCAGAGCATCTCCCCAGAGCCTAATGGCATGGACAGACATGGCCTGCAGCACAGATGGAACCCCAAGACTCGGCAGTTCCTACCCCCAACTTCCACCCAGTTACACAGACCTGGTTTTGATGAAGTCTGGAAGAAGCCTTCCAGTGCCTAAAGGGGCTGCAGGACAAGGAGAGGGGCTGGGACAAGGGCCTGTAGGGCCAGGCCAAGGGGAATGGCTTGAACCTGCCTGAGGGGAGACTGAGCTGAGCTCTGAGGCAGAAGCTCTTCTCTGTGAGGGTGCTGAGGCGCTGGCACAGGGTGCCCAGAGAAGCTGTGGCTGCCCCATCCCTGGCAGTGCTCAAGGCCAGGTTGGACACAGGGGCTTGGAGCAAGGTGCTCCAGTGGAAGGGGTCCCTGCCTGGGGCAGGGGTTGGAGCTGGAGGAGCTTTAGGGTCCCTTCAACCCAAACCCTTCTGTTACTCTGATTCCTGACCCTTAAGCACTAACAGTTGGGCCCGGGTCATTCCAAATCCATCTCGGATACCTCAGCTCCTCCTAGCACACAGGAACTGCTGCTCCAGGCCTGCCCCACGCTGCAGCACCCAGCACCTGCAGCGCCCCAGGCTGAGCGCACAGGGACTACGTACATTGTATGGACATGGGAGACACGATCTCTTCGTCCAGGTCATCCACGTCATCAGTCATGATGAAGTGCGAGGGGTTGGGCCGGGGGGTGCCCATCCAGCTGGGGTCGATGTTGAGGGCTGATGCCAGGCTGTGGATGCCCGGGTTGTTGACGATCTGGAAGCCACAGAGCAGCTCGATCTGCTGCCAGCGATGCAGGCGCTCCCGCAGCGCCGCCGTCACCTCGCTCAGCGCTTGCCTGGAAGCAGGGGTCAAACAGGGACATGTGGGCAATGGAAGAGAACCACACCTGGAAGTGCCTAAAGCAGGGGACCCAGAGGTTCAGCTCTGGATCCCTGGGCTTGAGACATCTCTCATTGCACTCCCAGGATTCTACACACAACGGGGTGGGCATCGCAGGGTAACGGGTCAGGAATCCCAGCACATCCCCAATCCTTCTGACAGGGTTTCGAACTACTCTTCCTAACTGTGTTGGTTTGACACAGAATTTAAAGGTTATTGGTTAAAAGGAGCAAGTCCAACCCCAGCTCAGTCAACAGGACACACGTGCAGCAAAATGAGACCAAGAGCGCTTGCGGCTACAGCGCGCTCACATCTATGAGGAGAGGGGAGCAGGAACAAGGGATTGAGCAGACACTCACTTTGCAGTCAGGATTTTGTGGTCGACATCATCCAGAGAGGAGCTGTGAGCAACGTGGAACGTTCCAAACAGGGTGTTCCGCTTCTTCTTGATCTTTTCAGCCTGGAACATCAACACAAGAAGGTCACAGGAAGAAGAGGACCTCGGGTGGCCTCCAGGCCAAGAACGTCCTGGATGGGGCAGCCAGAAATAGGGCCGGCAGCTGCCTGCACACATGGGTGTGAATAGTGTGAATTGTGGTTCACCGAGGGATGTTATCCCTCCTCCTGCAGCCGGTGAGGGATTGCCAGCAGCCAGGAAGCAGCTGCGGGGCTCCTGCTCCTCCTGGTCCCTCTCCTGGTTCCCCAAGGCTCACAGCGAATGGCTCTGATGAAGCTTGTTCTGGCTTTCCCAGGACCAAACTACCAAGCACAGTTAATGCCCTGGGGCTCTTGGTCTGGGGAAGCAGTTTGTAGTTTGAGGTTGGCTCTCTTCCCCTTTGTGCAGAAGTCTCCCCGTTAAAGGAGTGCGACATCAAAGCGGGGTGGAATTTAGCTCCACCGATCTAGTGGCCTTATCCTGAAACTCTGACCAAGGACATGGACAGGAGAGCTGGGAGAGCAGAGGGAAACGCAGTGTTAAAGTGTCTGCAGTAAGCACATAGCAAGGAAGGGTTCTTACACTCTGCCAGCTCTGGCTGCTGTGTGTGTCCACAGACACAAACACGCTGCAACAGCATCCCTGCACCGCAGAGCTTTCTGGTTGCCACAGCCCATTTGAACCAACTGGGAAAGCAGAAATGATTCATCTCTACAGATCATACCCATGCTCAACATGGGGTTGCCCAGGCACGTACATGACCTACAGCAGGGATTATGCTTAATAGGTGCAAACCCTGCTGCTTACTAAGGACCCACAGGGCAGAGATCCCTTTCCCACACCTTCCCTGGGCTGCAGCACACTGAGGACGTGGTAACGCAGCTCATGGGCATGCCCTGGTCAGGGCATCGCTCAGCACCATCCTCCAGAGCTCAAGGCCAGGCTGGCTGACACGGTCCCTAACCATGAAGGGGTGGAACTGGGTGCCCTCAAGGTCCTTTCCAACCCAAACCAGTCTGGGATTCTATGATTAAAAAGGCAATGAAGAAGCAGCCAACTGTGCCAGCTGCACCCCCCAAACCCAGGGGAGCACCCAGGGTGCGGACACCGATGTTCTCACCCCTTCCTTGGCCACCAGCAGCTGCTTCTCAGCGTTCTGCTTCTTGATGTTGTAGTACTGGACCTCCACCTCGTGCGTCAGCTGCAGCCACTTCTGCAGGGCCTCGGGCGCAGCCCAGCTGCAGTGCGACTCCAGCTCCTTCTCGGCGTTCTTGAGCGCCATGCGGACCTGCGGGACAAGCACCCCTGCACTGCAGCGGCTGAGAGCACACTGTGTACTGCATGGACCTGCGGGACAAGCACCCCTGCACTGCAGCGGCTGAGAGCACACTGTGCACTGCATGGACCTGCAGGACAAGCACCCCTGCACTGCAGCGGCTGAGGGCACACTGCACTGCATGGACCTGCAGGACAAGCACCGCTGCACTGCATGGACCTGCGGGACAAGCACCCCTGCACTGCAGCGGCTGAGGGCACACTGTGCACTGCATGGACCTGCGGGACAAGCACCCCTGCACTGCAGCGGCCGAGGGCACACTGTGCACTGCATGGACCTGCGGGACAAGCACCCCTGCCCAGGCAGCGTCACCCCCAGCGCCCAGCCTGCCCCTTGTCAGACAACAGCAGGAAGAGGAAGGCTCTGCACGGCTTCACCTCTCTCGGCACAGAAGCAGAAGTTGCTTTGAGAGGGGATGGGCAAGGGAGAGGGAGCGCGGCAGCGCAGCCATCGACAGGCAACAGCATCCTGGTACCTGAAGGGGCTGCAGGAAACATGGGGAGAGGGGCTTGGGACAAGGGCCTGTAGGGCCAGGCCAAGGGGAATGGCTTGAACCTGCCCGAGGGGAGACTGAGCTGAGCTCTTAGGCAGAAGCTCTTCCCTGTGAGGGTGCTGAGGCGCTGGCACAGGGTGCCCAGAGAAGCTGTGGCTGCCCCATCCCTGGCAGTGCTCAAGGCCAGGTTGGACACAGGGGCTTGGAGCAAGCTGCTCCAGTGGAAGGGGTCCCTGCCCTGGCAGGGGTTGGAGCTGGAGGAGCTTTAAGGTCCCCTCCAAGCCCTTCTGTTTCTGGAACTCTCCATCCCAGCTCTGTCTCCTCCACACCCTTACCCCATCCTGCTGGAGAAAGGAGCGATTACAAATCAGAAATGGGTAGAAGCAAGTCTGAGAGACCCAAACCTTACACAGAGCATTCAGTGCTAGCGCCCAGCACAAACTAACACCTCTCTGCCATTGCAGACACGGAGGGGCTTCAGCAGCCTGACACAAGCCCTGCAGGTGTAGCCAAAGGCACCGGCTCACAGCCAGGCCCTGAAGTCCCGTTCTGGATGGATCCTGGAGGACACTTGCAAGATCCACCAAGAAGCAGCAAGGAGGCACCACACAGGAGAGGTCAAGGGCTTACAGCCCTTAGGTGTGATTTAGTCCTGCTGAGCACAACATGGCCTAAATCACAGGCACAGAATGCCCGACCCCAGGCAGGTCTGCTCTTATCCCTCTGCCACCAGCAGCATCGCTCCTACCTCACACAGAGGTGACCACGACCCACACGCATCTGGTATTTAGGACTCAGGAAATGGGACACGGGGGACGTGGGGCAGGGGAGGGCTCAGACCTGGTCAGGAATGTTCCTGGGCACTGGTGGGAAAGGGAAGTGCTGCAGAGCAGCAGCCAAGGAGCAGCGGCCAAACCCAGCCCCTTGGTTCTGCAGGGAACCAACGCAGGCAGGAGTCACTTTGTGAGGCCACGTTCTCCTGTGAAGATTCCCAAGATCCCACTTTGATCAGAACACTTTATAGGGCAAGGACTGATCTCTGGGGCTGCCGCCCTGGCTGGGGTCATGGTCTGGGGGAGGACGACCTAGTGAGGAGAGAGGATGGGTGCGAACAACCCACTATGGGACAGTCCCACCCCAGAAACACACTGCAGCTCCAGTTCATCCCCCAGCTCCAGCAGGAGCTCCCAACCCCCCCAGTATCATTTTAGTGATAAGAACCATCTGCTGCAAAAGAAAGTCTTGGTTTAATATTCCCTGGGACCCAAGAATATCTTAAATGGGATGAGGTTTCTGGTCAGTGGGAGTGACTGGTTAATGTTGGTGGTGGTCTACAGCTCACTGGGACGGTGATCATGTTATAGGCACACAGTGTGGGTCAGGTGGGTAAAACCAGTACTCACCCTGGCAATGCATCCCTCCCAGAGGCCTCTAAGAAACAACAGAGCACTTGAGTCACCTCTTGCATGCCGGGTTTCTCAGCAGGTGCAAAAGGAGGGAGGAGGGATGGGTGAGGAGCACACTGGGTACAGGGGCCTGGGGTACAAGAGGGAGGCTGCACGCTCCTCTTGAGTGCTCCAAGACGAAGTGCCTGGCCTTCGGTTTGTGTGAGTGTGGACATCCCAGTGGGTGTCCTGAAACGGGGCCCAGGGACGTTGCGGGGAGGCTGGATGGGCAGTGAGGAGGATGCCCCATCCCTGGCAGTGCTCAAGGCCACGTTGGACACAGGGGCTTGGAGCAAGCTGCTCCAGTGGAAGGGGTCCCTGCCTGTGGCAGGGGTTGGGAATGGAGGAGCTTTCAGGTCCCTTCCAACCCAAACCATTCCAGTTGGACCAAACCAGTCCCAGGCACCCGTGCACCTCTGGGCTTTGATGTTCCAAGCAGGAAGGGAACTTTCAGTGTGCAGACTGGGCACACGTGGGCTACACTGCCCCATGGTTCCTGGGGACCTGATGGCCCAGGACACTTCTCCCTCCCTTGTCAGTGGAACCCCTCAGTTCCTGTCTTGTTTTCCTCCCCGTCCTCCATGGTGGCAATGAAAGACTGGAGCTGGTCAGGCTGGGGATGTGCTGATGGCCTCAGAATTGCCAAGGCACTTGCTTGGCTCACGCAGTTCCAGCTCACACCAGCTCAGGTTGAACTGATCTATCAATTACAGCCAGGCCAGAACTGTCCCCCAGGGGAGCAGGAAGCAGCCACTGGGTTTGTGGCTCCGGGCAAAGGGAATTCCCAGATGCTCACTCTCTGCCCTCTGTTACTGCAGATGCCGTGAGCATCATCCTTGATTTCCATTATCCCCCTATAGCCTTTGCTGAAGGTCTCAGGGTTTGAGCCTACAATGAACTATTGCACAAATGCTCTGTGTATCCTTCTGGACAAACGTGTTTCACTGTGCCCAGCAGCAGCCTCAGACACAGTATTCCAGACCTGCATTAGGATGTGTAAGCTGGGGACATGGTTTTCCTGCTCATCTAAACATAAAACTAGGGGATTTGAGAACTGCATCCCAACTCTAACTTTGCTGTAGAGATTCTCATCTAGTGCTGACTTTCCTTGGAAGCAAATCTCCCTCTCACCCCTCTCTGATCCACCAGAAAACGCGTTCAGCACAACCAAAGTCACCACAAATCTCTGTAAACCCATGAAGAAATACAAGAGAAAGAGCTCAGGGTTGGGAGTGGGAGTCAGAAGTCACCAGAGGGTTCAACACCGTCCTGTGGGACAGGATGGGATGCTGTGCCCACCAGCACGGTGCCTGCTCCCAGCGTGGTTACAGGGTACAGGGGAGTGGAGGGAGCCCTGGGATCCCCCCTCCACACAGGGCAGTGGCAAAGCAAAGTGGCCGAGCAGGGTAAGCAGAGCACCATGGCTCCCTCAGGGGATGGATGATGAGGCAGGGAGAGGAGCCCCTCGTGCCGCCTTACCTGCTCCAGCTCCTGCTCGGCGTACTTCTGGCGGCTGAGCTCGTTCTCGGTGCCCTCCCGCAGCTCCCGCAGCCGGTGGGCCTCCTGCTTGGCGATGCTGATCTCGTCCTGCAGCTTCTTCTCCAGGTGCACCTTCTCCACCTCCACGGAGCGATGCTCCTCCTGAGCCTTCTGCAGCCTGCAGGACAGGAGAGGACAGGAGAGAGAGCCCCGCGCTGGGTGCGCTGCACTGGTGCCACAGGAGGCCATGGCACGAGGGCTGCCCGGCCACCACCCCCCAGCCCCGCACTGACCCTTCCTGGGTCACAGTCACAGGGGTCTCTATGGGGAAAGTCAAGGAGAAAGCTCCCCATGGCCAGGGGGAAAGGGGATCAGCTCCAGAGTCACAGCTCCAGGTATCAAACACAGCAGGAACCTTCTCAGTTTCCCAAAGGGTTTCCAAGATTCCCATTAATAAGCCTCACATTAACTTCAATTTTCAGTGTTTTTACAAACCCAACACCTTTGCTTTAATGAATCAAAAAGGGAGAAGGAAGAGCTGCCTCAGCAGGTCTAACCAGCCAGATGGGATGTTCTCCTTGCAAGAGCCTTCAAACAGACACACGTCTTAATCTTGCCTGGAAGTTATTCTTTTTCCTCATAACAGAATGAAATCAGTAGGAACTATATATATGACGACCAGAAGTACTAACATAGTCCTTGTACCCATTCAGCAAGGTTCAGCCATTGAGGCTGGGAAGCTTCAGGCCTCTGCAGGACACACCACCACCATCACAATGAGATGCTTCAGGGTTTCGGTGATGTCTGGATGGTTCTGGTGTTTTTCATGGAATCATAATCCCAGACTGGTTTGGGTGGAAGGGAGCTTAAAGCTCCTCCAGCTCCAACCCCTGCCACAGGCAGGGACCCCTTCCACTGGAGCAGCTTGCTCCAAGCCCCTGTGTCCAACCTGGCCTTGAGCACTGCCAGGGATGGGGCAGCCACAGCTTCTCTGGGCACCCTGTGCCAGCGCCTCAGCACCCTCACAGGTAAGAGCTTCACCCCAATGTCCCATCTACTCTTCCCTCTTCCAGGTTGAAGCCATTCCTCCTCCTCCCATCCCTGCATCCCTTGTCCCAAGCCCCTCTCCAGCTTTCCTGCAGCCCCTTTAGGCACTGGAGCTGCTCTCAGGTCTCCCCTTCAGGAGCCTTCTCTTCTCCAGGCTGCCCCAGCCCAGCTCTCTCAGTGACCGCATAAAACTATCCATAAAATGGAAAGAAAAAGCCCCCAGTGGAACCATCTCCACCAGAAATAAGTATTTCAAGGTCATGAAATCTTCTCCCTCAAGACCAACATCCAAACTGGGAAGCAAACCAGCGGGGGGATGTGTCATGTGACAGAGGAGAGGGACAGTGGCACTCAGTGAGCTGGACCTGACCAAGACCACACCTGGAGAGGGGCACTGTGGGGTTTCAGAGCAGCTCCTGCTCATCCCAGACCAGAAGAGGGAAATGCTGCTCCCCAGTTGCTGCTCCCTGCAGCACACACCAAGGTACCCAGCCTGGTGGTGAAGGGCATCACTTGGGTGTGCTCTTGGGCATGCACGGGCAGCAGGGCCCCACCGCTGCCTTTGGGGCCAAGAGGGAAGGCCCTGACTGCTCCACCAAGGACTCCTCTTCCTCAGGCTCCTCCAGGCCCAGTTAAGAGTGTGGACAGGCTGGGCTCTCTCTGCCATCACATTGTCTCTCCTCTTGGAGAAGGCCCAGTTCCAACTGACAGCTCTGCTGAGAACCTCAAGTGTTTTCTCCCCAACCCAAAGAGGCCCTTGCCAGGACATTCCATGCTCCCAGATAAGCCCCTGCTCCCTGCCCTGAGCAGCAGCCCTAAAGCTCTTCCATACTAGGCCTGTGCAAATCCCAAACCACCAAAATATCTCTCGTTAAAGGAGAAATTCCCCCCTCCTGTGACGCAGAAGAGGGGAGGAATCTTATCCTTCAGCTAATTCCCAAGGCACTCCAACACTGTGATTCCCATTATACCCTTCTGCTCTCCTGACAGAGAGCCCGTGCTTGCTCACGTTGGTCATGGACAGAACCATGTTTTGTGTGTGCCATCACCTTCAGACCCAGAGGATTGAGCCACGGTGGCACCATGTGCCCTGAGCTCTCCAAGACAACACAGAGCTACACTTGTAAGCATTAAATTATCATGGGATCCCAGCCTGGTTTGGGATGAAGGGACCCTAAAGCTCCTCCATTCCCAACCCCTGCCCCGGGCAGGGACCCCTTCCCCTGGAGCAGCTTGCTCCAAGCCCCTGTGTCCAACCTGGCCTTGAGCACTGCCAGGGATGGGGCAGCCACAGCTTCTCTGGGCACCCTGTGCCAGCGCCTCAGCACCCTCACAGGGAAGAGCTTCTGCCTAAGAGCTCAGCTCAGTCTCCCCTCGGGCAGGTTCAAGCCATTCCCCTTGGCCTGGCCCTACAGGCCCTTGTCCCAAGCCCCTCTCCAGCTTTCCTGCAGCCCCTTTAGGCACTGGAGCTGCTCTCAGGTCTCCCCTTCAGGAGCCTTCTCTTCTCCAGGCTGCCCCAGCCCAGCTCTCTCAGCCTGGCTCCAGAGCAAGAAATCAAGGGGCAATGAGAGCAAGAACCCAGTGTCATCCATACAGATCTTCATACAGCCTCCCATCCTCAGCAGGATGTGCTAGGACACGAGCTTTTTCATCTTGGGTCATTTAACTGCCTGCAAGTGTCACTGGGGAAGGAGATCCTCAGAAGGTATTCTGAAGATGAGCAGGAGATGACTTTTTACATCCATCCTCCCTTCCCAGCTCTTCCAGACGCACTGGACTTGTCCATCAGCAGCAGCACTAGCAGCTGGCAGGTAACTGCAGAGGCACCACACACCTTCCGCAGGTCTGTGCAGCACCAAGGGCCAGTGAGGCAGGACAGGAGGTCCCTTCCTGCTCTGGAAAAGAAGCTTCTGAGCAGAACTTCAGAACCAGTGATGCTGTTTGGAGGTTCTGCTGCTCCTACAGTGGCTGCAGACCACAGCTGAACCTGGCTGGGGCTCTGGGATGAAGAAGCAAAGGTCTATCCCCCCTTTAGAGGGGAATTAGCTCAACCCTGCACCAAGATGCCCCACAATGCGCAGGGATGCAGGTCCCACCTCCTGAGCTCCAGCTCGGTGCCCTCTGCAGAGGACGAGCCCTCCCTGCAGAAACAACACAAGCTGCTCTGGCTTAAGGCTCAGCTGTGTCCAGTATTGGTGGTTTTGGGTTTCTTCCTCTCTGGCTTTAGAGCATTAGCTGATTCCCAGGAACATCCACTTGTTTACAGGGCTCTGCCCTCGGCAGCAGGGCCCAAGGTCGTTCCCCAGAGCCTGCGTTCACAGCAGAGGGTGCCTGGAGCTCTGCTCTGACCTGCTCCTCAGTGACTCCAGGCCCTGCATGCGGCCCGCCAGCTCCAGATGGACAAGGAGGAGGGATTCCCATCTCCTGCTGCCTCTGGAAATACAGCTCCTCCTCCCTGGGCCACTTCCAACCTGTGCTGCAGAACTCCTCAGAGCTCTCTGGAACCAGCTGGGGGACAGAGCTGCCACCAGGGCAGGTACAGGGGAAATGCCCTGTATTCCACCCTGTGCCAAAGGGAACACAGGTCACGTACCCACACTCCTGCCAGGGAACGTGCCCAGCCTGGCACCGTCACCTTGGTGCTCTCTCAAGTGTCTGCTCCCCCCCAGACACCAACTGATGGGGTCACACTCGAAGGAAAAGCCCTTCCAGCAAGACTCAGGAGCAGGGAGATCCTGAAGGCCGCTCATGGCACAGAGGCAAGACCAGGCTCCAGCCCTGGGGCAGCAGCTCTGAGGTCTCCCTGGAGCCTTCCTTTCTCCCCAGCTCTCTCATCCTCTCTTCAGGGCACGAAACAAAGGGGCAGTGAGGCAAGAACCTGGTCCAGTGTGGGGCTTCACACTGAATCCTCCAAAATGATGTCTTTTGTCCGTCCTTCCCAGGCAGCACTCCTCAAGGCAGGTATCACCGTGCACACAGGATTCAAGAGGGGATGAGCAATTCCTCTGTTGCTCGCCTTTTCCCCATCAAAAGCCAGCATGAAACAGCCTGACCAGCCTGGATGCCAAAGTCTGCATGATCTGGATTCCTGTGGCTCTTCTTCCCCTCCAGGTATGGATTTAAACTGTAATTTCAGGGAGTGGGGATCCCAATATACTGTCATTATGAGTCAGACAGGGAATAAAAACCACACCACTTTCACTGTGTGAAGTTCCACTGCTCCCATATACTTAACTGGGGTAAATGAATAGGAAGTGCCTACTTGAAATAGAGGCCCTCAAAGCAAAGTGACCACTGTGAGTACAACAGGAGAGCTCCCATCCCCTTTGCTCATGGATGTTCTGCTCCATAAACCCTTTGGTTCCTTGCCCTGGAGCCAGGCTGAGAGGGCTGGAGAAGAGAAGGCTCCTGAAGGGGAGACCTTAGAGCAGCTCCAGTGCCTAAAGGGGCTGCAGGGAACCTGGAGAGGGGCTTGGGACAAGGGCCTGTAGGGCCAGGCCAAGGGGAATGGCTTGAACCTGCCCGAGGGGAGACTGAGCTGAGCTCTTAGGCAGAAGCTCTTCCCTGTGAGGGTGCTGAGGCGCTGGCACAGGGTGCCCAGAGAAGCTGTGGCTGCCCCATCCCTGGCAGTGCTCAAGGCCAGGTTGGACACAGGGGCTTGGAACAGGAGCCTTCCACTGCCCATGGCTCATCCTTCCACTGGATGAGCTTTAAGCTCCCTTCCAAGCCAACCCATTCCATTATTCTGTGATATTCTAATGGAGTAAGAACCTTGCAGGTAAGGCTGACAGCCTGATGAATGCTCGGGCTGGGTGGACACACAAACATACCTTTCCTGAAGGTCATGGAGAGACTGCTCTGCTCTGTGGAGTCCCTCCAGGTCCTTCATCATCTTCTTCATGTGCTCCTTCGAATAGCGATTCTGGATGTAGGCAAACCAGCAGCCACCCACTCCGATGACGATGGACACCACCAGCATGAAGTCCTTCAGGTGGTTGTGCCGAGTCACTGGAAGAGACCAGAGGCACCACTGAAGTCAAGAGAAGATGACAGTTAACACAGCAGAGCTGGACATGGGAACTCAGGATGGGGTTAGAGGGAACTGTGGGGAAGGACAATACTGAAAACATCTATTCCATTTGACAGGGGAAGCAAAGAGAAGAGAAGCGGTTCAGTTCCAGACCTAACAGACGTAACCTGCCTGGCAACACGTGACACAGGACCAGGACAACCATGCTCCTGCAGCACCGTGCAAAGAGCTCCAAACACAAGGACACAAGAGCTGTGACTGCAGAGATGGGGCAGATCCAGCGCAAAACGGCCAAGCTGCAAAACCTGCCATCACCATTCCAGCTGGATGGAACCCCGTTTCCATCCATCACCATTCCAGCTCAGTGTGAAACCCCGTTTCCATCCATCACCATTCCAGCTCCATGGAACCCCGTTTCCATCCATCACCATTCCAGCTCCATGGAACCCCGTTTCCATCCATCACCATTCCAGCTCCATGGAACCCTGTTTCCATCCATCACCATTCCAGCTCGATGTGAAACCCCGTTTCCATCCATCACCATTCCAGCTCAATGTGAAACCCCGTTTCCATCCATCACCATTCCAGCTCAATGTGAAACCCCGTTTCCATCCATCACCATTCCAGCTCGATGTGAAACCCGTTTCCATCCATCACCATTCCAGCTCAGTGTGAAACCCCGTTTCCATCCATCACCATTCCAGCTCGATATGAAACCCTGTTTCCATCCATCACCATTCCAGCTCGATGGAACCCCGTTTCCATCCAGCACCATTCCAGCTGGATGGAACCCCGTTTCCATCCATCACCATTCCAGCTCCATGGAACCCCGTTTCCATCCATCACCATTCCAGCTCCATGGAACCCCGTTTCCATCCATCACCATTCCAGCTCGATGTGAAACCCCGTTTCCATCCATCACCATCCAGCTCGAGTGAAACCCCGTTTCCATCCATCACCATTCCAGCTCGAGTGAAACCCCGTTTCCATCCATCACCATTCCAGCAAACCCCCCACCACACCCCCCCACCACACCACCACCAAACCCCCACCACACCACCACCAAAACCCCCCACCATCACCATTCCAGCTGGATGGAACCCCGTTTCCATCCATCACCATTCCAGCTCCATGGAACCCCGTTTCCATCCATCACCATTCCAGCTCCATGGAACCCCATTTCCATCCATCACCATTCCAGCTCCATGGAACCCCGTTTCCATCCATCACCATTCCAGCTCCATGGAACCCCATTTCCATCCATCACCATTCCAGCTCCATGGAACCCCGTTTCCATCCATCACCATTCCAGCTGGATGGAACCCCGTTTCCATCCATCACCATTCCAGCTCAATGTGAAACCCCGTTTCCATCCATCACCATTCCAGCTGGATGGAACCCCGTTTCCATCCATCACCATTCCAGCTCCATGGAACCCCGTTTCCATCCATCACCATTCCAGCTGGATGGAACCCCGTTTCCATCCATCACCATTCCAGCTCGATGTGAAACCCCGTTTCCATCCATCACCATTCCAGCTTGACGTGAAACCCCGTTTCCATCCATCACCATTCCAGCTTGACGTGAAACCCCGTTTCCATCCATCACCATTCCAGCTTGACGTGAAGCCCCGTTTCCATCCATCACCGTTCCAGCTTAACGTGAAACCCCGTTTCCATCCATCACCATTCCAGCTCGATGTGAAACCCCGTTTCCATCCATCACCATTCCAGCTCGATGTGAAACCCCGTTTCCATCCATCACCATTCCAGCTCAATGGAACCCCGTTTCCATCCATGACCATTCCAGCTTGATGGAACCCCGTTTCCATCCATCACCATTCCAGCTCGATGGAACCCCATTTCCATCTATCAACAAACAGCAGGGACGGACGTGAGAGAGGGGAAGGCACCAAGTGTGGGTTCAGTGCTGAAGAACCCAAACCAGGATTCCAGCAGGATTTCCCAGCTAAGGAAGAGCAGTATTTAGTGTCCACCCAAACCTCACGATGCCCCAGTGAAGCCAATACAGGGACACGGATGTTTGCTTTAACACCCCCGTATCGCTGTGGATCTCAGTCAAGACAGAAGATGCAGAAGCCAAAGGTTATCACTGCTGGTGTGCAAAGCGTAGGGAAGGCAAGATGAAAAGGTGTTGAAGGAGGATGCTGAGGTGCTTGAATTGGGAGGAAAAGATGCTGGATTTGATGGAATTCAGCATTTGGGGGCTGGAAATATGAGTTTACATTCTCATGCAGCTGCAATAAAGGATTTACTTGGGGTTTCCTTGCAAAGGGAGAACAACAGCGGGGACTGTGAGACCAGAGTGCTCAGGGGGTTGTGGCTGCCCCATCCCTGCAGTGCTCAAGGCCAGGTTGGACACAGGGGCTTGGAGCAAGCTGCTCCAGTGGAAGGGGTCCCTGCCTGTGGTATGGGTTGGAGCTGGAGGAGCTCTGAGGTCCCTTCATCCCAAACCAGGCTGGGATTCCAAGATCACCAAGCACAGATGACAGGTTAGATCAACATTTTCTCCTCATATCCTGAAGCTCTCATGTCACTGATGCAGGAATTCCACAACAGCGCACTTACAAACCACAGACAACGGCCCGGACCTATCAAGAATGATACAAATACACACAGAGACATGTAAAGAATTGGCCAAAATGAGCCATTCCTACTCAAAGGCTTCAGCTGAAGCATCACAGAAGGGCATGAGCAGCCTCAGCCTAAGGAAGAGATCACCTTGTGTCACAGAGACAGGGGAAGACACCAGCTGCAAAAGCAATGGAGCAGATGGCACTAAGCTGGGCTCAGACTCTCAGCCAGAGGAGCTGATGTGTCCCAGCAGTAAGGGCATTAAACCTGGACCAGGGAAAAGCCTGGTACTGGATCTCCAGCTCTGAGTTATTTTTCAGCCAAGAGCAGCTGAGATGTGCCATAAAAACAACAGCTTTTGAGGTCATTCCTTCCCCAGCAGCAGATGATGGATGCGAATGCTCTGACTGCATCCCAAGGGACGCATCACATGGGGCTCATTGCCAGTGACACCCATGGCCTGCAGTGATCTTCACTGTGCTGAAGTGCTGGAGTCTGACCTGGTTACGGCACCAAATTACACCCCATGGGCTCCCTCTGGTCACAGCCCAGCTTTGGTTTCTCTGTAGGTCGCTCTCCACTGGGGGGCAGATCAGCCTGAAGGTGTTTGAGTCTAACAGGGCCACCCTCATGAGCAGAAACACCATCCCTGGGGTGACTCGAGTGAGCTGCTGCTCTCTGTGCCTGGTAGGAACTGCTCTGTCTGAGTGAGAGCCAGAAATGAGGAACAGACATAAGCCAGCACAGGGAACAGATAAAAGCAGCCAAGTATCCTGTCTGTACAGGAATATACTGATGCAGCATGCTGGATGGTCTGCATATAGAATGAAGGTGCCCTGAGATCCCTTTGGAGAAGGGCCTGTTGGGCCAGGCCAAGGGGAACGGCTTGAACCTGCCCAAGGGGAGACTGAGCTGAGCTCTTAGGCAGAAGCTCTTCCCTGTGAGGGTGCTGAGGCGCTGGCACAGGGTGCCCAGAGAAGCTGTGGCTGCCCCATCCCTGGCAGTGCTCAAGGCCAGGTTGGACACAGGGGCTTGGAGCAAGCTGCTCTACGGAAGGTGACCCTGCCATGGCAGGGGTTGGAGCTGGAGGAGCTTTAAGCTGAGGATGCAGCCCAGCACATGGGAGGCTTCTGACACCCCCTGCCACGTCATGGTGACTCCAAGTCCCTCTCCTCAGGGCTGCTCTTCATCCAGTCTCCTCAGGCAGTGTTTGTGCTGGGAGTTTCCTCTTCCTCACCAAGGAGCTTCTGTGCTTTCATTTCACTGCCTTCAGAGCAGTGAGGACCAGCACATCGCCACAGGGCACTGAGGACCAGCACATCATTCACAGGACAGTGAGGACCAGCACATCCTCACAGGGCAGTGAGGACCAGCACATCGTCACAGGGCAGTGAGGACCAGCACATCGTCACAGGGCAGTGAGGACCAGCACATCCTCACAGGGCAGTGAGGACCAGCACATCGTCACAGGGCAGTGAGGACCAGCACATCCTCACAGGGCAGTGAGGACCAGCACATCCTCACAGGGCAGTGAGGACCAGCACATCGTCACAGGGCACTGAGGACCAGCACATCCTCACAGGGCAGTGAGGACCAGCACATCCTCACAGGGCAGTGAGGACCAGCACATCGTCACAGGGCACTGAGGACCAGCACATCCTCACAGGGCAGTGAGGACCAGCACATCCTCACAGGGCAGTGAGGACCAGCACATCGTCACAGGGCAGTGAGGACCAGCACATCGTCACAGGGCAGTGAGGACCAGCACATCGTCACAGGGCAGTGAGGACCAGCACATCCTCACAGGGCACTGAGGACCAGCACATCGTCACAGGGCAGTGAGGACCAGCACATCGCCACAGGGCAGTGAGGACCAGCACATCGTCACAGGGCAGTGAGGACCAGCACATCGTCACAGGGCAGTGAGGACCAGCACATCCTCACAGGGCAGTGAGGACCAGCACATCCTCACAGGGCAGTGAGGACCAGCACATCGTCACAGGGCAGTGAGGATCAGCACATCCTCACAGGGCAGTGAGGACCAGCACATCCTCACAGGGCAGTGAGGACCAGCACATCGTCACAGGGCACTGAGGACCAGCACATCCTCACAGGGCACTGAGGACCAGCACATCGTCACAGGGCGGTGAGGACCAGCACATCATCACAGGGCAGTGAGGACCAGCACATCATCACAGGGCGGTGAGGACCAGCACATCCTCACAGGGCAGTGAGGACCAGCACATCGTCACAGGGCACTGAGGACCAGCACACCGTCACAGGGCGGTGAGGACCAGCACATCGTCACAGGGCAGTGAGGACCAGGACATCATCACAGGGCAGTGAGGACCAGCACATCCTCACAGGGCAGTGAGGACCAGGAC